CTGGCATTGAGGAGAAGGGGGTGCAGTCTGCAGAGAGAGTGAACAGGAGGTGATGGGAGCAGCATTATGTGCCAGTGTAAGTGATGGAGAGGAGGTGGCTCTTGTTCCAACGTGCTCTAAGCCTCGGTTTTGCAGTGTGATGTTGTGCTGCTCAGCAGATCCTAGAGGATCTGTACAGTATCCAGATCTTCCCATCCATCTCCTGGCAGCCTCTCTGAATTGCTGCTGCTCTGTGGGTGGCCAGTGCTTGGGTCCCTGCTGTTCAGAGCCCCTGGGGTGTCCTCTCTGCAGCACTTGCTGGCCTTCACACAGTGCTGGCCCTGCCTGGGTGCCAGCCCAGGGCTCTGCAGGGCTCCTTTGGGCTGGGCTGGGGCCTGTGTGTGCCAAGAGGCACATCTGGGGAGGGCTGAGCTCTGTGGCTCCAGCAGTGACCCCACTGCCATCCCTGGTGTCACCAGCTCCTCGCATCCCTGGCCAAACTGAAGGTGGGGAGTCACTGTGGCACTGTCCATAACAGGAGTGGCAAATTCAGTCCAGCAGGAAAGCAGGTTACTTCACAGCTGGAATGCAGGCCAGGCTTCACCTAATCCCTCCCTTGGCCACAGAAAGGTGGCTTTAATCTATTTATTCTGCATGTGGTTGTTTTTCCAGCCCTGATGTATCTGCAAATGCCACGGCACTGTTAGTCTGTTACTATCCATTTGCCATTAGCAGATGTGTGGGGACATGAAGCTGTTTTCAGTCACTCAGGTCTAATCCCAGCAGTGCCGTGGGATCTTGGGAATGCTCTGCCTTTGTACAGAAGGAAGGGACATGTAACGTGTCATTTTTAAGAACCTGCAACCTGCAGTTTTAGGGCTTTTTAGACAGCTGATTTTCCTTTTGCTGATGTTTTCGACAAAACTAATTTGATGGGGTTATTAGAGGAGGAAAATTAAAAGGACAAAATCATCCAGGAAGCTCATTAAAATGGAAACCTGGAAGAACTGGGTAATTGGGCATTGATTCTGTCCTCTCCCCTCACTTTGTGAGCAGTATTGTATTAAAAGCAATGTGTCTGCAGGATGATGCTTCAACATCTGTTACTGCTGAAACAAAATTATTTGCTTGTTTTTTCCTCTTTCCATTCTTCCAGCATCTGCATGTGCAGATCTGTCCTGTATATTAATCACATCTAACACTGCTCCTTTCCAGGGAAAAGGCATCAAAGGGAATGGGATCCTGCCTTTGGTTGGGAGGGGAATGTTTTGGTGGGGGATCCTGCATTGCCATTCCCTTGTATCAGATATTGGGTGACTGGCTGTGAAATGAGTCGTGGGAGCCAGTCAGGGCTCGGGGGGCTCATGAAGCCCATGCACAGGTTTGGTGCTCTCAGGTGTGTTTGTAGGGAACAAAGATGTTCCCAGGCTGTGGCCTGTCTGTCTTCTGAAATATTTGTGTCACAGTATGTGATTAAAATTGTGTAAATAGATAATTTTCCTTATTTTCTGTTCTCTGAATATTTGCAGGCAAATCACAATTTTTAAAAGTGTTTCCCGTTGAAGATGCTCAATAATTGTGCTGGGATTTAATTTTATTTTTTTTTACTGTATAGGTTGATCCAGCAAATTGATTCTAAATATAGTTTGCTGAATGTTTGCTATTTCAATCACTCTGGCTGTGATTATTGTGATAGGAAGCAATCTACTTGCTTTGGATTAAGTTTTGGGTGTTTGCTAAAATAGATATGGTTGTATGTACCAATCTTAAGATTCAGTTTTTTAGGAGCGTGACTTGTTTCCTTCTCTTCAGTATTTGTGCTATAAAAAAACAGTTGCATAAAGGTTCATAGCAAGAAAATAGAAAAAGCTGGGCATTAGATTTGAAATAATATTTGGAAATATTTTCTGATCTCCTATTATTATGATGTTAATTGTATCTTCCAGTCTTAAAAGTAAGGATGGGAAATTTAAGCACATGCTTAAATCCATTCCTATCCAGCAAAATGCTTGAGCTTAATTTTAAGCACATGAATAAGTTATATTAGTTAAATAACTCATAACTACTTGCTTAAATCCAGACAGTGTTAGACTGACTAAATATTAGAATTGCAAGGTAAATACTGCAGTAAATAAGATAAATATGGGTGTTGGCTTTACCGTGAACTTGTCAGTGGTTTTGACTTTTACAACCATTTTTATGACACACGGTTGAAATCAGAAAAAGAATGGAAATTTCAACTAATTTTTTAATATGCTGAAATGTATTAAGTTACACAAAAGAATCCATATTATAGTAATCCTGCACATATACAGGCAAAGAGTACCCAGCGTGCATGGCAGATGGTTTCAAAGGAAATCCTCGAGAGCTAGGATTAAAAAGCAATTTTCAGCAAGTTTAAAATGGGTCTCCATATTTGGGTCACAGATATTAACTCTTTCACTGCAAACAAATGAGGGAGAAGTCTGGCCGGGTTATTATGGAAATGTTTCTCCCAGTAAAAGCTGACCAGGTCGTGCTGGGGAAGAAAGGTGTGAGAAGGTCAGTTGATTCTGCCCCTGAGCCTGTTCTCACATCAGTGGGAAGCAGAGTTGTGGCATTCAGAGACAAGGGGATGTTGCAATTCATGGAATTCATCATTCCACAAACAAACACTGGCAACCCTCTGAAAAATAATGAGTGTGTGGCTTTGATCTTCTCTGCCCACTGAAGCACATTTCCATAAAGACAAACTGATCAGTAAGTTTTGGCATGTTAGGAACAGCAGATTTATACCTGTTTACCTTTAGTAAATTATAATCAATCCCTTTATTAAAATTTTACATATAGCATTTTTATATTCCTTTTGGATATGGCAAGCACGTATGATAAAAGATAAATATGAAGTTGCACAGCAATAGTGTTGTTCCATCGTAGACAGGAAGGGCTCCAAATTTGGCTTGGAAGTCCATCTGCACGTGGTAAGCAAGCCTGGGGTTTCTCAAATGTGTTTTAGGGGCACACTAGAAATTTATTGTTTGTTTTTAAAGGTTATATTCTTAAATAAACCATAGCATGCAGACATTGTTCCAGGCTGCAGCTGTTGGGTGGTGGTGTACAAACATCCAGAGATCTTGTCACCAGGCTGATGCACAGAAGGGATTGAGTGCAGGTCAGCTTTGTACTGTGGGATCAAGAGAAGGCCCTGGGCTTTGAGTAGATAAAAATAGCACAGCAAGTTGGGGATTATTGGCTTTAACTAACTTATACCAGCTAGTAACCGTGTTAGGAGTGTAATTCACATTTACATCAGTGCTCTTTATACACTTTGACAGTGCAAAGGAACCTCAAGTTCGACATGAACTAATTTTTCTTTAAAAGACTCTTCTACTTCCAAAGTAGAAATTCAAGTTAGACCTTAAGCAGTGTTTATCACTGAACAATGAAGTAGAGCAACCATTTTATGGTATTCCCAAAGCTCAGCTGGGCATATTTGGAGTAGACTTGGAAAGCTTTCCAAGCCAAGGTGCCTGATGCTCTGCTAAGTGAATTATGAAAGTAACTGCTGGTTTGAATATCAGCCTAAGGAGAAGTTAATTGCATTGCTCTTTGGGTATTACATTGGCTAAAAGTTAACAGTGAAGGACAGGGCACTTCTGAAAGGGCACCTGAGTGTGCTGGTGGGAGAGCTAAATGTGGATCTGCTAAATGTTAATTAACAATGCTGAATAAGAGGTGTTTTCTGCAGGACTGAGCCAAGGCAGTTACTACACATCCTATCTGCTCTCAGAAAAGAGAATTTAGACAATGGATGAAAATAAAGCAGCTTTTGGTGTTCAGTTCTTGTACCAGAGCTAGAAAGCATCAGTAGACTCAGGATGAGCTTTTAAAGCTGCGTCTGTTCTTCTGGGTCTTTGTTTCACATGGCCTGTTACAGGAAATCTGCCTGTGTGCATCTTGATGTGGCCTTCAGAGGGCAAATAAAAGTGCTGAAATTAGATACCAAAACTTGAACATCCCAGGCTGTTGTCAACCATCACGTGTCACCAAGTTATGATACTATTAATACCTGGAGAAGAAAGTGTCACCCATGACAACAGTTACCTTTGATCCACGTGTTTGTAAATGGAGTTTGGAGTTTTTGCCTTGGATTTTTCAAAGACTTGCATCTTTCAAAGGGAGGCAGAACAGATCAGTTTGGAGTCTCTGTCATTGTTATCTTCCAGGATTTTGTTTCAAGTAGTTTTTCAAAGTCTGTGCAAGACGATTTGAGATAAAAACCTGATCCAGATGTCTTTGGATAGTCAGAGCAATCCCTTCTCTTGACTACAACAAACTTAGGAGAGGTTCTAAATAAACACATCAGTGTTGACTTTAGAGAATGGTTGATTTCCTTTGCTCCCTGAGCAGTCAGTGCTCGATAAAGAGGAGCTCCTTCTGTGCACTCAGTTGTCTTCTGGTTCTGAAGCAGTTTTTTGTCTGGGCCAAACCCAATGGAAGGGGGAGTAAACTCGTGCAGATCACTGAAAGGTCAGACAGGTGGGAAACAGAAGCCTGAATTCTCCTATTTTGGGCCAAATGAGAGTCCTCCAGAAACCACACCTGGGTGCAACTCTGAAACCATGTGGGCATGCAGTTAAAATGTGTTCAAAAGAATACTGGAAAGTAATTGCTATGTCATTGTACAGAGTTCTGAGTGCTAGAAACTATAACTACCTTCCTAAATGAGGGAAATGCTTTACCTCCAGCAACTCTTATCAGGAAATATTGAAGGTTCAGTGGCAGTGCTTTGGAATTTCTCTCTACTTTAATCTTTTTGTAGTGTATCATTATTAAAGTTTCTCTGAGTAGATGACTGAAAGCAATAACCTGTTGGTGTCGAGGCAGTGCACTGATGTCTGAGGTAACTGGTCAGACAAAAGTGAAAGCTTCCATGGGGATAAAATGGGCTTTGGATGGGCTTCTTGGCACTTCTGTATTGATGGCACTTTAAGTAGTGATTTGAGGAGAAGCAGATAATGAAAATTGATTCTTCTCTGCAGGTCTCTCGCTTACTTTTGGACTTGGACAGACCTAATCTGTGAAGATAATTAAAGTTCCTTTGCTCTGGATGCTGTAAGTGATTTTTTTGTTTGCTTTATGGAAATCATTAGGAGCCTATTTGCCTCACACGGGGAAAAAGGTGAAAATGCCAAATCATAAAGAAATGGTAGAAATAAGTTGGTGGAAAATTGATATATATGACCATACATGTTTGCAGGAAATATTTCTGATCAGCCTTTTGTATTCAGGACCACCCTGTCTGCAGTCCAACCATGCTGGTGAATCCAGTAGCAGAACCCAAATTGCAAATGGCCAGTAAAGATACCAGAGGAAACAATATTTTCATACTTCTGTCAGGACTACAACTAGACCAGGAATCTTGGCATGGTGGAGGGAATCTCTGTTGCTGTGTGTATTGTGTCTGGTTGAGAATAAACACCTCAGGTATCAGCATTGACCAAAGTATCACGTGGAGAGGTCAGAGGGGGGAAAAACTTGTGACTGAAGAATGTTGCCATTGGCAGTGACACAGGGCAGTGGCCCTGGCTCTTAGTTAGGGCAGTTGTTTGAGTTCTGGGTGCCCTGATAGCATAAAAGGAGGTTTGAAATCCCTTTTACTGTTCAACAGACTCTCCCAGGAAAGACCTGCCAGCCTGAAAGTCTGTCCCTGCAGCACCATGGCCTCTGGAGCATCTGGGATAATGCTCCCCTGGAACAGGGAATCTGGCACTGCAGGGAGACAGGGTGGGTAGGAGGCTGGAAACAGAATGCCATGGCTTTGATCTTGTGGCAGCATCCCTTGAGGGTCCTTAGGACACTGCTGGTTAATAGTTACAGGTGTTAATGGGACGTTTCTTATTTCTACAAGACTGCCTTTAAAACAGCCGATATTCTTCCATCAGTGAAAACATGCAAAGAGCTCTTCATATCCCCATTTTCCCCCCAAAGCTGTGGGAACAATTTTCTGGCTTGTAGAACAAAGAAGTTGAACAGATGACACAGCCAACATCTGCACCTGGCTCACTGAGGAAGCGAACGTTTGGCACAGGAGCTGAACTCCCTTCTGCCAAAGAGCCCTGTCGGTGCAGTTGTTCAGGGATAAGGGTGGGATAATGTCTTTTCCTTTTTGACTCACTAAAGCTATTTTATTGATCTGTCAAAGTCAAAAATTTGTCGGGAAGGAAAATGTCTTTACTTTTAAATATCAGAGGTTAATTAATGGTTAGTCAAACCTTTTCTAACCAACCCCTTTAAGATTATGATGGTGTATCACTTCAGTTCCAATGGCAGACACATCCCATATGGGTTGCCATTTTGATGGCTTTGAATGGTAATCTGACCCATAAAAGCTGAAGCATAATATGCAAACTGATTTTTTTCTGGCCTGCCCTGTTCTTGGTGCCATCTGTGTTGGGATGGAAACGAGCCTGCTCAGAACGTGGGCTGCCGGTTTGAGCTGCTCACAGATGGGGGTTGAGGAATAGCCTCGTGTGCACAAGGGAAGAGGGAAGATGCTCCTGAGAGCAGGAAGTTTCACTTGAAACCATATTGTGTCTGCTAAATCCTGTGGCCTATGGAACATCCACCAGACCTTTAACTGAATTCTTCACACGGATTAAATAAACTAAACTTGCATTCTAAAAGTCAAGGAAAAACCCTTCAACTTCCAAACATTGCTGTTCCTCCACCACTGCCTGCTCCTGCTGCCATGCCTAATGGAATAGAGTGCAGGAAGCTGGCAGCACCAGGTCTGTCAGGTGTTTGCAGTGCATCTGCTCAGCAAAACCAGGCATAGGCAATTATTCCATGAGTTTTGGAGCTATGTGGAGTTTTAATCTGTTGTGTGAATCCTGTTGAGGTCACAGCATTCAGGCTGCCATTTCTGGATTCCTGTCTCTGACAATTAACCAAAATCTGCCTTGTAGGTGGAGGTGAGTACCTGTCCTCTGCTGCTGCATCTCAGATCAAAAGTTCAGGTGCTTAAACACCTAATTCTCACTGTGGTCAATGAGAACTTAATTCTCTTCTCATTTTGAGAGAGCCTGTGCTCTGAAGTTAGGGGTAGACTGACCTTGTCTTACGTGTAACCACAAGAGTCCTGGTACTATTTATAATCCCAAGACACGCATTAAATAATTTTCCCTGGTTAGGAATATGGTCTGCAGAACTCTGATTTATTTTTTTACTCTCTTTAAATCGATTACATTGTTTGAGAGACCATTTGCTTCGGCAGAAAAGAAGCCCATAGAAGGCAACGCTCATCGATGACTTTCATGGTCATGACACACTCGAACATCCCTCTCAAGACATCTTTAAGCCTTTTATTTCTAGGCTAAATAAACACCAATTTCAGCAATGTCTCATCTACTCCCTTTAATTACTGCTGCTGAGAGAAAGTTTCTGCCAATGCAAATGTGCTATTTTGTCATGTCACATCAAATTGCATCAGCCTTATATTTAGGAACAAAAAGAGGGGGAGGCTGAGACAGGATGTGGCTACAAATGGAACCAAAGGGTTTTCTTAAATATAGGCTGAAAATAGACAATCGAGGCAGCGATGCTTTTTCAAGCAGAAATCCATGAAAGGGAAAATCAAGGCTGTGATGGCAGAATGGCAAAGGAGGGCCGGGCTGTGGGCACAGGGAGTTCTGGGGGAGGAGGGGGTGGTGGAAGGGAGAGGCTGATGAACTTCTCATTTACACAGACCCCCTTGCCCTGTCAGATCTCTGTGCAGTGATTTGGGATGTGTCAGCCCACACCTTGTTCCCCTGTGCAGGCTGAAGTACCTGGGGCTGTTCTTCCCTCTGCCTTGTGGCAGGGCCTGCCCGTTCCCTGAGCCTGGCTGCCCTTGGCTCCCCTGCCAGCAGTAACTCAGCTCACTAAACCAAAGAGATTGGGGTAAGTAGGCATAGAGAAAATTTGAGGAGCTGTCCAAACAAATGTAGGAGACTTCAAACAATCCCTTGCACTACTTTAAAATGTAGTGTCTCTTCAGAAATAATATTTTTTAAAAATTGTTCTTCAGAAAGTGTTAGCAGCTTCCCCATGGAAAGCACTTTTTACCCTCTTGGAACTGGCCACAAAATGATCTGTTGAAATCAAATGCATAAATTATGCATGTAATGGAGCTTGCTTTGAACTGATGAGTCTGATCAGAGCCTGGTGGCAATTAAACTGAGTTCTGAAAGATCAGCTGTGTTTGAGAACCAGCAGAACTTGGTGTGGATGTGATCTGGGGGCGTGCAAGCAGCACCTATTTAGCAAATTGGAAAAATACTATTCATTTCTTACAGCTAAGCACTTGGAATTTCTCCTCAGAAGCAATTGGTGATGTTAGAGGTAATATTTTTGTTCTTGTCATCAGGGACAATAAAAGTGCAGTAGAGGCTCAGAAGCTCATGTATTTAGAGCACTGACAGACGTAAGCCAAGCAGCATTTCAGACAGAAGCCAGAGAGCAGGGGCACCCAGGTCTCCATGGTTGGGTGTCATGGTCCTTCAGGACTGTAAAACACTGAATTTAGTGATGCTGTCAGTTGTTGAATTCTTTACAACAGGCAATGAACACCCGTGGTGCTGAATCCCTGCACTCAGTGCAGCTGGATGGAAACAGGGACAGGTCCCCCCAGGCTTTACAGCCCCCCCTGCAGCGTGTGGGGTCTGTGCTGGGGCTGCAGGGGTTCAGGGACAGGGAGCACAGACAGCCTGGGCTCTGCTCTGCTGCAGGGTTTGGGGCTCTGCCTGCTCTGGGGCTGTGACAGGCTGTGCTCCCTCCAGGGTGGAGAGAGGAGGGCACAGTCCTGTAGGTTCTTCAAGCATTAATAGATATTAGTAGAATTCCTTCTATTTCATTGTTGTTTAACTTCCCAAGACTTAAGAGAACCACATCTGATTTATGCCTCCAACTACTTTTTTCTTTTCATATATAAGCATTAAAAAAGCCTCGGTAAAATGTGTGTATTTTCATAGCAGGAAAGCATTTCTGTTATACTTTTCCAAAGCAAATCACAGAAATATTAAATGGGGAAGGAGAAAGATAATTGTTTGGTTTTTATAGTTGGGGTTTGTTTGTTTTGAACTGAATAAGTCTGAAAATACTGGATAAAAACTGCAGATCAAATGAAAAGACTCCATAAGCATCCTCCAGATTGTTCCTCAAAAAACCACTCAACTGACAACAGTACAACAGGAAAATGTTCTTAATTAACGTCTTCAGTTAAAAGAAATGCATTGTGGATCTCTTAAATATATTATTAAATCTGCATTGTTTAGATAATAGGATGGGGACAGACACTAGTGCTGAGTGCTGTGTCAAATTCGTCAGGGCCTGCTCTAATTCTAGTGCACTTGCTGGATTTCACAGTTATTTGTCTGGGTGCTGGGGTAATTTGGAGGGTTGAGTGGAGCCAGATGACTGTAATGAACTCATTTTGTGTCTTTGACTCATTCTGGAAAAAAAAAAGATGCTATTTATGGGGTATTTTGTATTGTTAAGACTTCTGTTCCTCCTGTCTCTCAAACTTTCTCTGGGCTGCTGCCTTTGCACCATCACCAGTAATTACATCAAATTAATTCAGCATAATTGAGTTAATTATTAGCACTGGGGGTTATCAACATGACTTCAATTGAACCAAAGCTTTTATCCCACTTTTCCTGAGGTTTCACCAAATGTAAACAAATCTGAATCATGGGTGAAACTTAAGGCAGCTCCCTTTCCATCAAGTGTTTTTGCCTCACTCGTTCTCTCAGATGGGTGTTCATAAACGAGCTGCAAAGGGAAAAGAATACCCTGGCATTCTGTGTCAATGTCCAATGCTTTAGAAACAAAGGAAATACTTTAATCATCCCGGAGCCATTCGGTCAGAGCCAGAAATGTAGAATAATCATGAATAAAAATTCATATACAGAGAGGATGTTGAACCTCATTTAGCTGATGTACATCAGAAAGAATTAAGACATAGGTTCCAAGGATTCAGAGGGTGGTTTTCTGAACAGGGGTGCAATTGTGAATCACTGTAAGACACAGTCAACGGCACGATTCCTGGTGTGAGGGGGTAGTTTGAGAACCGGAAGGTTCCTGTTCCCAGCTCTGCTGCTCTGTCACTTTGCACAAGCTGTGTAATTTTCTGGAGCACAGTTTCTTTTCTCAGATATTTTTTCTCTTGGAAACCCAAAGCCCTGGGTTGTCTCTTTCTGCTTGTGCTGCGCTTTTCTTTTTTTGATCTCTTACAGCAAGAGTTCTGAGCTGGACACTGGGATCAAGAGGGAATATGGTTTGAACTTAACTCTACAGACAACCAAAGAAACTTTTTCCCCCTTAACTTCGTCTCAGCTGGAGCTATACATTAGTTTAGGTGCTCAGTAGAGTTGGTGTTTTTGGGCAAACTTGAGCTATGGCTTTAAGAGCTCAGAGCTGTCCCTGAGCCATGGCGGGTCTGCCCCGATGAGCTGTTGGGATGGAAACAATCCCTGCTTAGGGAGCTGGGCCAGTTCCAATCCCCCTAAGAGGCTAAAGGCTCCCAGACTTACATGTTCTGTAATACTGCTGCTTGGAAACTTGCTCCCAGGAACAGAATGGATCTTGCTGAAGATGTGGTGGGTCAGATTCATCCCTGGTTTAATGCTGTAAACCACAGACAGGGTTTCTGCCAGGGAAGGGCTTGGGTCAGATTATTGTTATGATTGAGACTGAAGGATTGGGAGGTGGTACATTTTAGCAGGTGTGGATTTGGAATAATGAGACAGCAAGTTGTTCCTGATGCTGCTGTGAAGGATAATGGGAATTGGAAGGGACAATTCCAGGACAGATACCCTGTGGATACGAGAGCATGGCACGAGCCCCATCGTCACTAGTCCAGGGATTGTGTGCACAGTTAGGGCTGGAAGGGATGTGCTGGGGGAGCAGTAAAAGGAGAGGTCACACTGGACTGGGTTTATTCCCTTGTAGGCTGGGTGTGATGCTTGCACTAAAGGAAGGTTCAAAGGTGTATGTTGGGCATTTTTGGTTCAAAAAACCAATATTTTTTATTAAACTTTAGTCAGTAGTGTGGGTCACAGTGACTTCTTTCGCTGTTTTAAATTCTGGCTCTCCACCTTCACATGACTTTGTATTTTCCTAAGCAGAGCCCTTTTCTGTACTGCTTTCTGACAGCTGCTTGTTTTACCCTCTCTTCTTTTTTTTAAAAACAAAAAGATAAAGTTGGATCACGTGAGCAGAATGAGCCCCTCTTAAAGCATAAAGATAACATAAACTTTAACCAGCTTCAGTCCTTCTGGGCCAAGTGAGGAACCACGACAAAACCTTCTGTCAGACTCACTCCCCTTCCCGTGCTTGTCTGGCTCAGAGTCAGTGTGTCCATGAGTCAGACAGCGGGTTTGTGCCCTTCAGAGGCACTTCCATGCCTTGTGCTGCCAACTGGGTATCTGTCCTTCAAAAAAAGTTGTGGTAGCTTGTTTTGTGCCCAGCTGGAAGTTTTAGAAGGTGATATAAGCCCAGCCAGAAAGTTGTTGCAAACAGTGGCATAAAGTAGGAGGGAGAACAATGGTGGCTAAAGTGGAACTAAGCACTGGAACATTGCAAAATACAGTATTTACAAGAAAGGAATGAAGGCAGTTTTGGTTTAAAGTTGCACTAAGTTATAACTCAGTTCCTATTCAGGCATGATCCCAAAGGTAAATACTTACAGATCAGACCACTGAGAGCAAAATTCCTGTTGACAGCAGTTGAACTGAGCAATTCACAGCTGAGAAGATAAAGTTCTTTTGAAACTGTGCCTTTCAGAATTTTCTTTAATCCAGAAGTCATTGTCAGGAGAAAAAAGTAGAAAAGTTTGGATTGCACCTAAAGGAGGGAGATTTCTGTCCTCCCACTAGTGAGCCTGCTCCAAAGAATATTACTCTAATTAGTCTGAACATGCCTATTAATTATCCAGACCAGGGTAATCTGGCCTCAGTGTGGGCAGTGTGTCTCCTCACTGGTGTTGGGTTGCAGGAGCCTGTGTTTTACGTGCAGTTTGATGTATTGCATGTCTG